TAATAATTATGAAGAAATAAAAAAAAGAAGAAAAAGAACTTGTTACGAGTAAGATATAAACAATAAAATATAGGAAAATAAATATCTAATAATCTTACGTTGCGTCTTTGTTTACTAGGACAATGTAAGAAATATAATAAGAGGGAAGAAGGAAGAAAAGAAAGATTCTAGAGTAATTCTAAGAGTATTCTAAGATTCAAGATCGTATTCAGTGTATACTACACTGTTATTAATTTCATCGACCCATTTTACGCCCGCGCACGGATACTCTGTCGTCGAGTCTTTTAGTGTCCAGCGACCTTGTCCGAGTAACTTGCCGATTATCTACGTCGACTCTATGCATTTACGACAGGTGTGTGTATTCCGTTCTTTCTCACTTTTCTCGTCGTCTATTCACATGATATATACATATATACATACATACATTTTAAAACTCAACGAGAAGACGATATGCCAAGTTGAAACTTTAATGAACGTTCCCGATGTTTTCGAGGTAGTCCTATGTTCTTTTACTCTAGTAAATGCTCGTTCACACGACACCGAATCGATTTTTTTTTTATTAATAGGTTAATTTTAAACTCTAAATTCACGCGATACATATTTAGACGATATCGATAATTTTGTCGAATCGGTGTCAATCGATTGTAATGTTCACACGTTTAGTTTTTTGACCGTACGTCCCACCCCCACTCAGCAATATGCTTATGTTTGTTTGAAAAATTGAATATTGATTGGTTCGGATCAATACTGCATTTACCGATGAAGCAATCAAATCGTTCGAACGCTGTTATTACGATATACATATGCGCCATTCGTGACCGATTCTTTTGTTTTAATCAAATCATTGCATGTGGTTTCTACTGGCAAAAACAAATGTGAAAAATTGCCAAATACACGATTTTATCGTATATACGGTTGACAGTACCTCGTGAAGATATATATATAGAAAATATGCGCCATTGCATGTAGTAGACGATAAAATAACCAATTAGAAAAAAAAAAATCGATTCAGCGTCGTTTGGACGATGAGTTTTTACTGTAAGTTCATATGACATACGTTTTAAACGCATTTTTAAATCTGAATCGCCTTCGACCGATCGTAATGTTCACACTGTTCGGTTTTTGATCATATGAACACCTCTTACCCTCTCCGTCTCACGCAACTTTTTTCTTTGCTTGAAAAATTGAACATCGACTGGCCCGGATCGATACTACATTTACCGATGGAGCAATAAAACCGTTCAAATGCAGTCATTACGATATATGCGTCATTCGTGACCGATTCGCTTTTTTTTTGTTTATCGAATAAGTGCATGCAGTTTCTATTGGCAAAACTGAATGTCAAAAATTTTTCAATTCGTGATTTTATTGTATATGATTAACACTGTCATATGAATATGTACATATAAAACATATACGTCATTGTAGAAGACGATAAAATAATCAATTAAGAAAAAAGAAAAAAAATTGATTCGGTGTCGTGTGAACGAGCTCTTACTGTAAGCGTTCGTGGAGCCGGACGTATCTTCGAGCTAGATCACTGTAACTGTGTGATTTCTTGTTCTATTAGCAATGCGATCTTGTTATAAGATCGACTTCTTCGAAAAGAACGAAAGAAAAAAAGGAAGGGGAGACAAAAAAAAAAAGAAAGAAATGAGGAAAACCTTACGTTTGATTGAGATATAGAACACAAGATAGAAAGCCTAAAAAAAAAGGTTATAAAAAGATAAAAAGAAGCTATTGGCTGTCCGTTATCGGGATCCTTACGTGTGGAATCAATTACAGTCGATCGAACGGTGGTAATTTTCAAGCTCCAATTTCACGAGTAGATATCTACCTACCTTCTTTCAGGAATCTATCATTTAAGATCTTATTTCTTTTACCCTCTTCTTTTGTGCTGATAAGTCACGTTGAGATCAAGAACTCCAAGGGTGATTTACTGATATCCAATTTCTATATATAAGTATATGTATACATATACATATACACATACACATAAACTTATGAACTTATTCATTTGAAATGGAAGATTATATCGTTTATCGATAATCATTTGAACCATTCTTATTAACGATTTATACGATTGGTTCGAGTATTTCTAAAGAGCAGATAAATAATCCTTTTAAATTGAATGATTTTATTCATTTTAGAATGCGTTTGTAGATATTTAACGATTAGACGAATCGTTAATAGTGAGAGAAAAGTTTCAATTTGTAAAGCGGTTAAACTTAAGAGCCACCGCCAGCGTCGAAAGTGTCGGTCTTGCCCGATCCGGTTGCCCGATCGATTATGTAATGAAGCGAACGGGGCCGTACCGTTGCTTACTTCCGGGCCGGCCGACAGTTCGACTAGCGCCCTGTTAAGACCGTTACATGATTTACGTTCGACCAGGTAATTTATTATTCACCGAAGGAGGTGCAGGCCTATCGGAAATACCTGTTGGTGGTCTCGAGGAATGAGTGGGAGGATTATGTCTATATTATTTTCACGATTCATTGTCACGATGAAAGGGCGATCAAACTTGGCAAAGCTATTTGCATAAATAAATCGAGAGCTTGATATTATGTGAGTCTTTTTTCTTCTCTCTCTCTCTCTCTCTCTCTCTCTCTCTCTCTCTCTCTCTCTCTCTCTCTCTCTCTCTCTCTCTCTCTCTCTCTCTCTCTCTCTCTCTCTCTCTCTCTCTCTTTCTCTCTCTCTCTCTCTCTCTCTCTCTCATATATCTTTTTTTTAATGCTTATCAAGGCACGAAATCATTTCGACATCTCGCGTCAATAATTGATCTTGTTCTTTCCTTTTCTTTCTTTTTTGGTTTTATTTCTTTTATACACACTAAATATATTTTGTATTTGTTTTTGGTTTAATTCTAATTGAAATTAATTCATTTTATGATTAATATTTATTTATTTATTTATTTATTTATTTATTTATTTATTTCTTCTTTTATTCGCCAATAGACGAATTGACAATTCATAGATACATACATATATATATCATCATCATCATTTTCATTACTCTTTTATTTATTCTTCAGAACAAGTACTTCAAATGAATTCTGAATGTCAATGATAGGTAATAGTGTATGCAGGACGGATATGTATATAGGAAATCGGAAAGTCTAGGGAATCAATACTGTCCCTTTTCGAAAGTCGAAAGGGAAGTGAAAATGAGATCTCATTGAGAATCTATTCTTAACGTACTTCAAAATAATTGATATATATTGCGTCCGAAAAGAATTACGAAGGATATAACGAATATTCGGTTAAATTTGGTTAAATTATCGGACAAGTTAGAATAATCGGACAATTTAAAATGAGCAATACATAAAATAAATTCCTCATTTATTGTAAGCATTTTATAAAAACAATTATTATAGCGTTAGAAAAAAATAAAAGTGCAATAAATTTAAAAATATTATAAAGAATTTTTTAAAAGTTTTTAGCAATATTTAGAGTTATTTAGAAATTAGAATAATATATGTTTGCATTTATAAATTTGAATGTTCCTTTCATGTTAAATTTGTACACTTGAATAAGCAATAATATATCTATTTTATGATAAAAATATTCATATATAATATGCACATTTTAATGTACTTTAATGCATAAAAAATTTGTTTTAATGTATACAATAAATGAAATATTGTTCGATGTAATATTTTTTTTTCCTTATTTAAAATAAATATATTTATTTAACGCTAAATACTTTATTTCTTTTGTTTTTTTTTCTTTTTTAATGAAAAAATTATTCGTTTTAAAGCTCAAAAGTATTTACTTTTAACGCATATATATTTCTTTTCTAATAATTCCCTATTAAACTGTAGTAATTTTTATATAGAAATTTACGTATGATAGGATAGTGAGCGTAAAGGTAAGAAAGATTCGGTCGGTGAACTAAAACCACAAGTGTTTCCCTATATCACCTCGTGGTCGTTTATATGAAAGGCAAAATCGATCGATGCGCTCTAAGGCAAAACTCCCTCGTTTAGTAAAAGCCGACCCGGTTGAAATGATCGCGTGCATTAAATGTATAGCACGAGTTTAATTGTCCATAGAATCACCACCCTCCTTGCTGTGTTCTCATTAACGTCCAACAATCTCCTCTCTTTTTCTCACATACCGTATATTCATCAGTAACCAAATATATATATATATTCGAATAAATTGATATTTGACGGTAGACTGGCGTAAATGAAAATCGTTTTTGTTCGATTATAACTCATTGATCCCTACTTATTTTTTTTTTTTTTTTTTTTTTTTTCCTTAATAGTCCAATCAATTGAGATTCATGACTATGAGAGTTTCCCATTGACTGCCATGCAAATTTAGCGCGTCTTGCCCTGGATGCCACACGGTTTTATTTTAAAGAAAACATGAAGTTTTACAAAATATAATAATATTAAGTTACTGACATAATATAATAAAAATTGATAAGTAATATGTCCTCTATACTATATATATTTTTCATTCATCCTTTCTAATAATTCCTAACTGAAATAGCCATTTGTAACCAATCTAAACTTGCAGCACCCACTACGAGATATCTCGTAGCTGGCAGTTTTGGTACAGACTCTTACTACGAGATATCTCGTAGTTGGCAGTCAATGGGTTAATTGGGCATTTGATTTTTCCTTTATATTCACTTTTAATCTATCGATCTTTATTGCCTTCTTTTTTTTTCTTCTAATATTTTTAATATTTGAATATCAATAGAAATTCGTAAGTATTTTGGTTTGCGTTTATTTTGGGGATTTTATCTTATAGATCTTTACTATGTTTTCTATTTTTCTTTTCTTTATGTTTTGCATACTCGAGTTAGTTAAAATTCATTATTATGAAAGCTTTTGATTTTCGTTTATGTTTAATTTTAGTCGATCAATCTTTACTATGTTCTTCTTTCTTTTTTTTTCTTTTTCTTATGTTTCTAAAATCCTTGTCAATTGAAATTTATTATCATCCGAGATCCTTTAAATTTTTATTTTTCTTACCTTTCATTTCTTTTTGTATTTTACTTTTCCTTCTTTTTTTTTCTTTTTAATATTTAACTATACATTTCTCAACCAGTAGCTTTATTGATCATAGATATAAGATGCACATTCCTTTTCCCATTCTCTGTAATATCAATCGAAATTGCATATTTGGAAGAGTAACGTATCCTTATTGTTCGAAAAGCCGCTTTTCGGTTAATCGAGTAGTGTAATTGAGCATGTTTATGCCACGGAAGAAAGCACATATTAATGTAAGTATTCAACCGATTGTCGTAAATCTGTTGAGCATTTTGGATGAAAGTAATAAATTGCGAATGCCTTGTTGGTAGAGATGCGCATTTTAAGCATCTTAAGCCAACGTCACCGAGTAATTTGTAAAATTTTCGTCCGCGGAAAGGACTACCAAGAATCTCGATGGTATTCAGTCGTCGACATTTCTCTAATATGCGTGTCAGATAATGCGAACGGAGATAGAACTTTGAAGTCGACCCTGAAAATAATTTAAATATTCAATATACAAATTATATCATATTTTTTTCTTATTTTTATAATATTTTTTCTTTTTTGTAATTATTTAAAGAGAAGACTAATAAGAATAAAGAAAAAATTAAAAGAAGAATATAATGACTATATTAAAACTATGACATCGTAATATAATATTATATCTAATTTATTATATGTATAATAAATTCATAAGTAAAATTTATACAGTATAATATTATAGTATATATAATATTGTTATTTTTTTTATATATGTGTATATATGTATATATAGGGAAGAGTAAACTATTATACATAGCATTTAATATAATACTCTATAATATTATATGATATATTTTATTTAGTAATATATATTATATAATAAATTAAATATAATTATTAAATAAAGAACTAGAATTTTATATATATTTCTATTATTAGATATTCTATTATATAATATTATATGTTTGTAGTTTTATATATAATTTGTTAAATTCACAAATAATTTTTTAAAATTAGTTTCTTTAATTATCTTAGAAAAATTTATTAAACTTATTAAATAAGAGCTAATATATATATATATATATATATATATATATATATATATATATATATAAAACTATATTTGATATTATATATAATAAGAAATCGGAAACGCTACTGAAAGATATAAATGATCGATTTTACTTGCGAATATTCTCTTCTTAAAAGTTCGTTTAACACGTATTAAATTAAAGTATCTCATCCATTTCGAGGATAAAGAGAGATCAAACTGAAATCTACTTATTTTATTCAAAGACGAAAAAAATGGTATGAAATTTATGTGGCTCACGTATCATTAAAGAAAGATCACGAGAATGTTGCAAAACTTCTTCCCGTTTGACATTGTGCCAAAAACGCGTTCCGTCTTTCTCTTTCATCGTTGGTACTACTTTTGAAGATAGGCGTATATTGATAGAGGGAAGGTTACGTAAAAAAAAGAAAAGAGAGAGAGAGAGAGAGAGAGAGAGAGAGAGAGAGAGAGAGAGAGAGAGAAGAAAAAATAAAAGTTAACACTTTGCTGACCTGTTTCGTTGCCATATTGAAGAAAAAAGGGACAAAATTGGATGGTAGTGGAGGAAAGTAATAGTAGTGCATATACAGGGTGAATCAATAACCATCACCATCTCAAATATCATCGTTATTTTTGTTTTTATAGAGAAAAAAATACTGAAGATAAAGTTACGCTATTTCAAAAGGTACATCTAACGATGGAAAGAATTTTTTTATAAGATTATTTCATGGTTATCGTTTCTTCTTATTTATATATACATATATATATATATATATATAAACGAAACCTCATGAATTATTGATTCTACGGATTGATCCCTCGTGCTATTCTTAAAAAAAATGAAAAAAGAAAAAAAAAGTATTGGAGTACAACGTCAAAGAATGATTAATACACGAGATATTTTGGGAAAAACCACATCTTTTTTTTTTTCCTTTTTTTCTATATTGAAGACAGAAAAATGTAAGAGGAAAACGATTTATTATATATTCATGATCATATTTTTGCTCGCAATTGCACACGTACATGCATTATTGCATTTGTACCGTATTTGATATGGTAATAGTTATCGACTTATTCTGTATATATGTATTACATATATACCACATATGTAGAGTGTTCATAAGTGGAAGGGTCACCAATGAAGTGTGACAGAAACGCGACGACATTATCATAAGAGATAATTCATGTCACGTGATGCATGTGACGTAGATGTAAAGTGGCAGTGGGGGTTAAACTGACGTCATGTATTCCCTCGTGAGGGTAATTCTGGCGAGGCAACAACGAGACACTGACCGGTCGCGAATTATTTCGTATTTCTATGTCCGAACTTTGCTAACCAATAACGATTTAATTCATCTTTTCACTAACAAAGGTTTATAACAGTTTTCAAGCTTGAAAATGATATATATATATATCTAAATGTAGCGTTCTATAGATCGTACTTTTAATTTCTTTAGTTTAGTTCGTGTTATCTTAGTTTAAGTTGAAGTTCTAAGAAATTTACATATGCAAGATAAGCCGTGGCACTTCACCGCACGTCTCTTATTTCAACCCTTTCTATTTTTCCTCTTTCCTTAAAGTCTTATCACTGATCTATTTAATCGGTATCTCCAGATAATTGGCGTGCCATACTTCTTACTTTTTCTATTCACATTTTGCTATATTAGAAAAGTTTTAAACAAAAAAAAGAAAGGAAAAGAAAATGAATGACGCATCCGAGGTAGTAAAAAGAACATTTGAATGAATTATGTGGAAACACTTGGTCGGATTGTTTGAGTGGCTTTGAGATATAGTAAACAGCTGAAAGATGATACTTCGTAGGAGGATAGAAATGACTTTGACTTAGATCAGATCGTCACGAAGGCAAGAAAGAAATGTGATAATATTCGACAGTGAAATTGATTTTGAAGAAGAGTAATGAAGGGAAAATGATATTTTACTGAACTTGTAGAATTATATAAATAATTCTGATGTAATTATTCAATTTGGAAATCAACGAAGTATAAGTGAAATAATTAACTTACTTTTTGATAATAATTTCTTTGATCTAATTACTTCTCAAATGAATTTATATCATTAACAAATGAAAATGTGTCAGATAATTTTTGTTTAAAATTTCATCGTGGAGGAAAGTTACCAATCGAGATATAAAGAAGTTTTTAGGTTTACTTGGGATAAACAAAAAAGCCAAAATGGAAAGATTACTGGTTAACTGATGCTTTGTTCGAAGCATAAAAATTTTCTAAAACCATGATTAGAATGAGATTCGATCAAATTCTTACATTCTTTTATCTTAAAGATAATTCACACGTTACATGTAATAGAGACAGACTTCACAAAATCAATAATGATATTATGGAGAAGACTTCAAAATTGATATAATCAAATAAAAATAATAAAATATGGGATTTTATTCAGAATGCTTTGTAAAATTGAGATCGGTTACATTTGCAACTTCGAGATTTATTCAGACGAAGGCAAAATGTTAGAAGACATTATGTTATCTGTTTAACGGTCTTTTCTTAATTTTTGTTATTTTTACCAAAGTATTTTTTATTAATTGTTCCAACATGTATGTAGTTACATGTTATAAAGTACATCATACCGGAAAAAATTATTAAATATTACGATTATTAAATATGTAATAAGTTACATATAAATTGAATAATGCATTAACAAAAGTATGTTGAAATTTTATTTAAATATTCTTATTTTATATAGAACTGCAGAAAAATAAAAATAGTCGGTTGCATGGAGAATTATTATTTTTATATGTATATTTATTCGAAATAATCGGTCAGCAAAATGTTATGTCAAAGAATATAGGAACGAAACAGGTTTACTGAATTCGAGCCAAACAATGAATGTTGAATTCTTAATCAGAAAAAGACGATTCCGTTGAACGTACCTGTACAATTGTAGACATAAAGCTTCTCAAGATTTTTATTCGTCAGCGAAATCTGTCTTAAAATCTTGTCGCTGTCCTTTCTGTGATTGATCGTTAATTCCTTTAGGAACGGCATGTTTCTTAGCTTCCCAATTATTTTGGACGTGTTCTCGTTACAGTTCGTCACCTACGGTACGGATATACACGTTCTTGCCATATTCTTTCGATGCTGTTAACCGATCGATCGATCATAAATATATATTCTATAGTCTCTTAAGGGTTGACACTAAATTTTTGTTTCTTGGGTTAAAAAGAAGAAAAAAAAGAAACAAAAAAATATTAAAATTTGTTATTCTCTTTTGAAAAGCGAACAAATGTTCATGAGATTTTATTTTAAACGTTAAATAAGAAATGGTCTACTTTACGTAATGAAAATTGCTTTCTTTCATATTTTTAGACTATTTAAAAAGTCATCTCTTTATCTTTTAATATAGAATTTTTTTTTTCTTTTTTGAAGATTTCAAAAGGAAAAATATTATACTAGTTCAGTAAATGTTTAAGCATGAATATGGACAAAATTATATTATTATAATGTTTTTTTTTAAGTTCTACCAATGGTTAGATTTTTAATTTGTTTAACTTATATGTGTATACTTATACATGAACATATATATTATATAAATATTATATTATATATATACATATATATATAAACATATATATGTATATAGTATATAATATAGTTATAATGTACTATTATAATATAATTACACACTATAATATACTAGTTATTTATACTTAATAAATTAAAAATTATCTTGATATGAGCTAAATTATAGCTAAATAAAGAAATAAATGAATAGAAAGAAATGAAATAATAAAACTTAAAAGGTAGACAAGTATGAGCTTGTGACTTAAAAGTTGCATGACAACATTGCATGATTAATAGATTTTAATTTTGCCATCATATACACTAAAGGGTTAAAGATTCGATTACATTAACCAGTTATGTAGCAAAAAAAAGAAAGAAAGAAAATCAGTCGCGTGTTTCGCGATCTTATCGTTGACGAAAATTTCATTCGAAAGCCGATGGGACGTGCACCTTGGTAATATATTATAATAATCACCTCGTACGTGCGCCAAACCACGGGATCTTGCATGATACCTTCGAAGTACTTAGACACGCGACCCATATTGGAAAGATCTTTCTGGGATAGATATGATAGAATTTGTAGAATGAGTTCAACGGGAATGGATTCAATGTTTGCGGGTTTGTTGTTGTTGTTGTAAGATGACGAAGATGAAGACGAGGATGATGAAAATCCGCAATGCCTAACGACTTTGGCACGTTTCCCAACGTTCTCCTTTTCGTTGATCGCGACCTTGTCCATCCTCCTTGTATTTCCATTTCATTGAACACGTCAATGCGCCGTTTCCTCCACTGGCTCATATCGTATGACCGATATCGATGTAGTCAATACTTTTTCTTTCGGATTTCACGTAAGTTAATTCGACATAACCATGAAACTTAGAATTTGGACATTTTTTAATTTTCAAAGCATCATTTCACTTTTGTTTTAGATATTACATTCTTATATATATGAACGTGTCCATGTATGTATTTATAAATGTGCGCGTGTGTACGCGTGTCCGTTGTATATGCGCGTGTGTGTGTGTGTGTGTGTATGACACACAAGGTGATTATAAATTAAAGAATATTTGAATATTTTGTTTGTTAGGAGCGATAGAGAAAATATTTTATTAAGAAAAGTTTCATGATTTCATGTGTCAAATATTTTAAGAGTATGAAATACAATACTCGATTTCTGGTTAAACCGGAAGTATAATAATGTCCCGTTTATCTCGAAACATTAAAATATCTCGTTAGACTGAACCTACTAATACAATTATTTTTATAGATTTTTTTGGTATAAAAAAACACATCAACTGGTGCCAATTTTTTTTGTAGATCAAGTAGTAGGAGGAATTACAATTTTTTTTTATCTCACAGTTCAATGGCATCTATTGAAACTAGAATTCCTTTAGTATTATAAAATATTATAGATCATATTATAAATTTGTGAGTTCCTACAATTATGTGTCACTGGTTGCTAACTGTTAGGCAGCACATTGTAAAAATAAGACTGAACTTCTTACGAAATAAATATCGATTACTTAGATTGGTAATTTGAGAATCATAAAAGGAGATAAGAAATTCGTTCTATCTTTACAGCAACATTATTGTATTATACTGTATTATATTAAATTATATTGTATTATATTATAGCAAAATTTATATGATAAAGTAAATATTTGTGTAATTATAAAATGTATTAATGTAATTATTATGTATTACTAATAAAAATGAAAATAAAAATGTTTAATATAAAAAGAAATCCAATGTGTTCTTCATTAAATTCAATCATCATTCTCCTAATCCAAAACATTGGTCTTCCTATTTCATATTCTGGAGAAACCGAAAATTTTTCCTGCATGTCGACTTCAACATAAAATATACGCGAAATTATGCAACATTCTCATGTCATGTGATTCTGATACAAAACTCGATTTGCGAAAAATTTTGCCGCTTCGTTCAAAATTAGAATTTCTGAACAGGAGAACATAACTTATCTGGAGATGGCATGATTTCTCGTGCCACTTCTTTACACATCATGTGATCCTGATACAAAACTCAATTTGCGGTAAATTTTGCCACTTCGTTCAAAATTAGAATTTCTGAACAGGAGAATGTAATTTACTTGGAGGTAGCATGATTTCTTGACCCACTTCTTCACACATCATATGATCCTTATACAAGACTCAATTTGCGGGAAATTTTGCCACTTCGTTCAAAATTAGAATTTTTGAACAGGAGAACGTAACTTACTTGGAGGTAGCATGATTTCTTGAGCTACCTCTTCCTACGTCATGCGATCCTGATACGAAACTTGATTTGCAAGGACATTTTTTGCTTTGTCCAGAATTTGAAAATGATGGACTAATTTTTTAGATAAGGATAATAATGGTAGTTTTTAATAGAGAACACATTGGATTTCTTTATATGTTAAACATTTTTATTGTTAATATATGATAAATATACTATGTTTTGTAATTTATAATTATACAATTTTATATACAATTTTATATACGATCTATAATTTATAATCGTATAAATATTTTCTTTATCATATAAATTGCTTTCTAATATAATAAAATATAATGCAATACAATACAATATTATTTTTTAACTAATGCCTATCAAATTGTGGGAAGTATAATATGTAGTTCCATTTACAAAAATGAATTTGGCTTTGAGATTTCACTACACCATTTGACATAAAAATTGTCAACTGTAATATAAAAATTGGCATCGTATGATGTATCTTTTCTTAGCAATAAAATCAGTAAAATTGTTTCTGTAGATTCAATCTCTTATAAGATATTTCAATTTTTCAATATAAATGGCACACTCTCTCTCTCTCTCTCTCTCTCTCTCTCTCTCTCTCTCTCTCTCTCTCTCTCTCTCTCTCTCTCTCTCTCTCTCTCTCTCACTCAATCATTCACTCATTCACTCATTCACTCATTCACTTACTCAATTCTTTTTCTCCGCGCGCGTGTGTATGTGTGTGTTACAAATGCATAATTTTTGCGGTTGATCGAATATATTAAACGGCTTTCTCCCTTTTCCATCTTATGCAAATGATGAATTACAATCGCATAATCACGATAGTGACTCACACACCGTCCATTCGTCGCCATCTGTTTTTATGTTCTGCGTGATGACCGAGGGTACCATAATGCAACATGCAGATTTTTACGTTAATTAAAGAAAAGGTGATATCGTTATATTCATTCTTATAAATGTTCGATGATTCATAAGACATTTCATTAAAAAAAAAAAAAAAAAAAAAAGATTGATTGATCTAGTTTTCTGTGAACATTTTTAAATGTCTTGCCCCTTTCCTGATATTTTCTTTCCGCTCTCTTTCTCTTTTTTTTACTTTTTCCTCTTCCCCCTCTCTCTTTCTTTCTCTATTTTACACATACATCTTTCTTTGTTTCTTTCTTTCATTTTTTTTATTCTCCAAACGATCATTAAAACTAAAGTGTAGGAAGTCAAACTTTACATAAGTACGACCTTTCGTGACGCGTTTTCGTGTTAAACTTTTTAAAGCCCGAAAACCTTTACCTGATGCAATGACATTTCAAATGCGAAGCTCGAAATACGGATATCACGTTTTTATTCGTATTCTCGTATGTCATTGGTTTTCTCCGACATATCTGTATCCATTAATTCTTTGATTCGTACGCGACAAGTCGATTTGCCGTCTAAAAGCGTAGGCACGTATCACGTTTATATCCAGAACATCATTAACATTCAAATATAAGGAAGGTAAGGCGTGCGATAATATAGTAGGAAATCAATGTCATATAGTATCTATATATATAATACATACGTATATATATATATATATATATATATATATATATATATATATTGTGCGTGGTTTGTATTATATTTGTATATATATGTATGTATATTTGGAGTGTATATATATGAATATATATCTTCATGATGATATCTTATGAATATATATATATATGTATCTTCATAAGCGCGCGAATGCTTAGAATAATAAATTCGATTATTCTACTCCTCTAGTATATAAGTTGTAAAGCTTACACATATAATAAAATAATGTCTTGTCATTCAAGGTAGAGTCTATTTCCCTTACTTGTGGCCTTACAAACTTTACTTCATGTATAATTCGATCTTCGGTGTAATGAATATGTTCTATAAATGGACAAGCCTCGATAAATAAATTCGTTTTGAGCAAATGAAATTATGACGAAATTTCTTCCCCCCCCTCTATTCTTTATTTCTTTCCTTTCTATTTTTAATACAAAATAATCTAAAAGAACAAGTTTTTACCCATCACATCGATGAAAAATTATAACGAGGCGAAGCCTTAGGATCTTTAAGGACTGGCTTATATATGTACGACGACGTAAGAAAAACACCCTGACATAATTTGGCTGATCTATATTACAAGATCGTCGACGTATACGTCGATCGATATCAGTTATGTAAATCATAATAATTCACTAAATATAGAACAAATAAGTACAAAGCATCGAAAAGAACATAGTACTAGTCTACAATATGTCCCGTCGAAATATCTTTCAATTGAAAGTAAATTTGATATTCTTTTATTATCTAATATAGAAAATGGAAGATATAAAATAGGCTATATATAACATATATAGTATATATAGTATATGAATATATATAGTATATATAGTATATGAATATATATAGTATATATATATATATATTCTATACATTTATTGTAAATACAGTATGTCTACTTCAAATATATAGACGGGCTTATTTTCCTAAATATTAAAGATGCAAAATATGTTTCAAAAGAATGTTGCATAGGGACACATAATTGTGATAATTATTTGATTATATGATAATTTTTGAGAGTATCGCTAAGGTCAAGTTAAAATTTTTTGACTTGACCCTGTATTCTTTATTATATTTTCTTTCTTATTAATGATATTATACAGTTTTTAAAACATTACTTTTAGTATTTTTGGATTTTTTACTTATAGACTTTTTCTGAAGATGTCAGATGTAACCCCAGACGAAATCACAGATGCAACCCTAGATGAAACCTAAGATGCAATGAGCTAAGCTGAACTAATCTTTTCCTGTTTTGTCCGATTTTATTCTGTCCTGTCCTGCCTTTTCCTATCCTCTTATTTTTCCTTATTTTTACACATTCTGCATTCTTAAGAATATATTTATATATTTTGTTACATATCGATGTGATTGAATTTAATTTTCATTTAAACATTTTATGGTAAATTTGATATGAATTCGTTTTCTGTGATTTCAGGATCAATCATGTTGTCCCAAAGGAAAGCCACTACGATAAGAAAGTTGGAGGGAAAACGACCGAAAGAGTCGATGTCATCCTCCAGTCTTTCTGGTATGTCACAATTGTCGAATAGTAGCGAGGAAACTCTCGAACCCTTCGTGCATAAACCACACAATTCTAATACCGAAAAACGGTGAGTATTGGAAAACTATTTAAATGGATACGTTGTCCTCAATTTGTATGCTGTTCGATTTTATTCCTACGTGATTGCAATTAGCAAATCGTTTTTGAACATTTTTCTCATGTATCTGTACTGTCGAGTTAATTACTGTTGCAATTTCTTTGATTAAGTAAATGTAGTACGCAGTATGCATAAGTGTATCTAATTACCGGAATGTACAAGGATTTCTCTAATTATCGAAGTAAAAGGTCTTGCGAATACTTAAAAGAAGTGAACTTAATTATTTTATATAACTAATTATCGCGAGACTGTTAATCCCTCG